GGGGTGGGCGAGGGGCGAGGAAGGCGCAAAGACGGAGGGGAGGCAATGAAGCCGCGAGAAGTTGAGGAAGAGACGAGGCAAGCAATGGAGTTAAGCAGCAGATCAGTTCATCTTCCGAGGGAAGCTTGGCTGCCACTTTTCCTCTTCCAGTATGTCACGTGGTGTGTGCCGGCTGGCGGATGGACTAATGCATTTGCTGTTCATATGCTGTTCACCCTCTTGCGGGTATTCCCTGCGTAGACTTTTCCGTACGTTATTGTCTTCCTATATACATATACTACTCGCAACCTGGCTTTACTTCCACGACTACCTCCAAGTAGATCACTCGTCGGTTTGTCTTTTATTATCAAGGGTCAACACCAAGCACTAAACCACCACCTTAATTTTTTAGACTCCCTTCTAGATCTTCGGTTCGGTTCCCAGGAATTATACTAGCAGTATCACTTCCATTCGCCTCCACTAATTGCTGAACATCCCACCTTTCAAAGAACACATAAATAAAAAAAGAGAGAGAGATCATCAACAGTCTATGTACAAGAACGGCAGCTTTGTTATACACCAAGGACTTTGGTTAGTCCAGCCCGCTGAACCGTAGAGAAAAATAGCAAAAGGTTTACAGAATGAAAAATGGATGATGGCTGTCGGACCCACCCCGCGACTACTAAGCTACTATGGCGCCAGCCCTATCCGATCGAAGAACAAAGGCGCTCCCTCCATCACAATCCAGGCAATTCCTAAAAAAAGCACAGTCAGCATCCACAACTCTCCAATTCGGCGCATCGGGTGACACCCACCGGAATATACAACGAGTTTCGTGACAACCTCCACATCATAGCGCACTCGGGGCCGTTTGATCTGCGAAAACACTTCCTTCTCGTCGGCTTCAATTTCCGACTCAAATGGAGGGAAGGGAACGGTCGAAGAAGCTTCTTGTGAGCTAACATCGACAGAAGTCGCCACACCAGGGGCACCTGTGCCCATCATATTCTCATACTCGTGCAATTTAGATGGTTTCCGCGACAGTTTCCGTGGCTCGGACTCCGAGGCCGGTCCACCTGCTTCCGGTACTGGGGATGGCTGGTTCGCCGTTGAAAGACTTTCCCGTCTCCGCTTCTCACGATATGCCAGGGTCTCATACGCGTCAGCCTCTGATTGCGGGCCGATCGAAATGGCGCGTCGTCGAGGATGCCGGATCGTGGTTATTATTGACGGTATCTCCGAGAAGCCCGGTAGCACTTCGTGGTCCCGGAGCTGGGATGGAACTGTCGTGTATTGTCTGTTTGACACGTTACATTAGCTGCGTTTCTCTTTTCGGATGGTTCTTCATCCTCTCTTCTGTTCAGAACCACACGGTAGACTTACGAAGCGTTCCGGAAAAATCTCCGGGGAAGTATGAGGCCCAACTTTTCCAGGCCCCGGAAAACAGGAGGCAAAGCCCGAAGCAGAACGGGCTTGGTGACAGCTCGCCACGTGAAGAGCATAAGAACACCAATGATGAGGCGGAGAGCCGTCTTGACGAGACCTACACGCTGAAATTCGAATGGGACATTGGCCGGCACAGGTTCATCCCACATCAGGCTTGACCTAGCTATGTGCCAATAGGCCACTTGTGCTCCAAGCGTGACTCCTGCAAAAGCCACACTGTCGTCGAAGCACGGGCAGTCATCGGCAGGCTCTGGGTGTATACGGACCAAACCCAAAATCAACAGAATCACTAGTGTAACCCCCCTTCCGGTAGCAGAAACGACATACTCATCGATGGTCGGACCAAACGTATACTGTAGGAAGGCGAGGAGGAACCCAAGTAAACATCCAATGACAACATCAAAAAACCCATGCATACCACAGTACAGACGACCCAGGACAATAGAACAGACGTAGAGGTATGTTATAGCTTGGAGGACGATATTGACCTGAGGGCTCAGGGTGGATTCGGGGGAGTTCAATAGCGCGAGAGCGTATGCCGCAACCGAGACCGCATTGGTGGAGTGAGTCGATGGGAATCCGTATTCCAACGCCGCAGAGCCGGACATTGTTATCCGTTGGAGAGGAGGGGATAGAGGCCGCGGGAGGCAAAGCAAGTCCTTGATGAAACCACTGAAAAACACGCCGGAGGCCAAAAGATGCACCATCCTGAGAGATTGAGAGTCGTCAGCTCAATTGCAGGCCAGATAATTGTTTTCCCTCTGTCTATGTCTAAGGGCTCATCATGGCCACTTACCCGCGCCCCAAGCTCGTATACCCGCACCAGAATAAGATCGGCAGGAAAACCATGAAAAAGGTATGTGTGCCCAAATTGGCCGTGAAGGCAAAGTAGGAGTCTAGAGCCGGAGTGCGGACCCTCTCCTGAACCCAAGCCAGATACGGAGTCTCATATCGAATTAGAGGGAGGAGCTTCTGTCGTGGCCAATAACGCCAATAAGGGAGCTGGTTTCGATCTGATAGCGTTGGAAGACAAGCCTCGGTTAGTCCACTAAAATCAATGGTGATTCGACAATCGACACCACGTACAATGATCGAGGCTTCTCAGCCCAGCGTCCGGCTGGCCATTCTTCCCATTGACCATGCTGTCGTTGTTGTTGTTCAGATAAGGCAGCCGTTTCAATATAGCGTGATGGTGTGTTTGCGACAACCCCCCATAAGGTTCCCGACAGATAGCAGTCTCAACACCCACAACGGGCTAGTAAGATCATTGATGACTGGCGTGGTTGGAGAGGAGACCCGAGCTTTTCGGGGAGGCCACTTTCTATCAGCGGGAAAAAGGAGAGCAGTAGATCGCGGTAGGCTAAGTCATGCTCATCCGGCGTTATCGCAGAAAAGGTCGTGTTCTTGGCGGCCGATGCCGTGGTTTGTCTAACCACTCAACTCTCGACCCTCAAGCCTCCCCCGGCTGAGCTAAGGTTTTAGTCACCCAAAACACGGCAGCCAAAGGAATATGATCGCCCTCGACAAAGTGATCTATCTAGAATTGGAACTACTTACAGCTGCCCACGGGGCTGTCATCTTTAAAGCTGCGAGGTTATTTAGAATAGATTAGAATAGTCTGGTTATTGAATGAGAATATGATGCTGTATGAAATTCAGTGTATTTGCCAGTCCTCTGGTGATTTTCTCAGTGGATGTGGTTTGAATATATATAATCATCAGAAAACACTGTTACCTTGCCTTAAGGGCATGTACTTTTAATGGGGCACTCTGCGGGAGGCTTAAGGACAATAGTCCTTGAAAAAATAGTAATGCAGTGCATGATACGGATACGCGGTCCTGTCGGGACGGTGTTTCTCATCGGCGCTTATGCAGTCATTTGACCGCAGATCAATGCAGTAATTTATATATAGTATGGAGCACGTAGTGAAGTTTTACTCCTACTAAACTGCGCTGTGGTGAACTTTCAGACCAAACACAGTTTTGATTGCTCATGATCGATGCGGTGTTGAGGCCAATTTGTACTTTCAAGTACGTAAGATACTAGTAGATAGGAAATGCTAGAGCATTGACAACCAACGTCGTGTTCTGGCACCTACGACACGTTCACCTTAGCATATGATATCTGCAACTATGATCTAGATTTATGTTGTAGCCCTAAGTAGCTGATGTCCATAGTAATGAGGGGCACTGCATTGAAGTGCTAGCCGTCAATCCTCCTATTGATGGTAAAGGAATGAAGCAAAGTTGACAAGCGCCGCTTGGCATGGTCCAGAGCTAGACCGTTTATACGTCTAAACATCTTTCCATGTGGCTGAATATCTGTTTGTCAAGCTGCCAAATGGAACTGACAAGGATAGCGACGGCGTGGAATGAGCCCAGCCAGGATAGGAAGTTGCAGGCATCGGTGGTGGAGGCTAGAAGGCTGTCAGATCCGCCTTCAGAGTGTACGAATGGCTACATTCTGGCATCATGACAAGTGGAATTTCTAGCTGATATGCATACAATCAGCAGTAGCTGCGAGAATTCGCTCTATACACCCGGAGACACGAACAACCTCGCCAACATACTTGGGTAAGTGGAGGCGTATCTACGGAGTCCTGAACTACTAGTAGTAGTGGGTAGTAAGAATCGACCACCAAATAATCCCTCATGACATCTAACTAGCCTTGTAGTGATTAACCTCGGCAGGAACAAGAATTAATTAGTTCTTTCGGGCCAAATCCAAGGCTGAACGTGACATCGGGAAAGATTACGTCAACCGGGTTTTCTCTTGTTTCTAGTCTAGTTTCTACTACTCCGGACTGTTGGGTAAAAAGCGGTTTCAGGGACCTGGACCGTCGATGAAGACTTGTGTAGCACGGACCTGCAAGGGATCGCACCAGAAGGAAACCTTGATCAATGTTATCGATCACCGGGGGCCAACCCTGCCACTAAAGCCCGATTTTGATTCGAGGATCGGGAATGATTCCAAGGAGGACGGCGATAGAGTGGTGTGGTAACCCGACTCGGGGCCCGGCCATCGTCGAGGAATTCCTGGTGCGCAACCCAGGTAGGTAAACAACCAAGGAACCGAGTGAACATCCGGCTGAATCTACTAAAAATAACAGGCGCGGATGAGGCAGAAGACGAATGGAATCGATGGATATGCGTCCAGCTGAAGTTGCGTGGAGTGACAAGCGGAGCTCGTGCGTCATTTGTCCCGCGGCGTTGCCATGGCAGCCCATCGGCCGGTAAACATCGGTCTCTTGCGGTTTCATGTCAGCCACGACGGCCTCGTTGTTGGAGCAGCCGTGGGAGGAGGAGGCTGGCTGGCTGGCTGGCTGGGCTCATCGTGGAGAAACTAGTAGGTGCATCTGAAGCCTGACATCCCTTTCTTCCTTTAGAACCTCTTCGTGCTGGTTTCGCGTCTTGTTTTTCTAATTCCACCAACCTCCTCTACTACCCCCCCTCCTCACATCCCAAATAACCACCACCCCCCATTTACCTTTTGTACAGCAAGCCACTTAACTTCGACATTCCTAACAACGCAGAGGAATTGCTCAGTACACACCGACCCAGAAAACTTTCCGCTGTGCTTTTGACAAGACAGTGGATCGTTGAGCAGCAATTATTACCGAGCCGCAGTTCCAGACCGACAATTCCCACCCCTTCCGGAACGGCTGTATAACTCACATTCCTCAAAATTCTCCTACTCCGCCATCATGTCAGGTACAATGTACGACGAGCACGTTTATGCACCCTCACGGCGCCATTCAGTTGCTACTCCTCCCCCATCCATGACTCCACGACATAGTCGGACCCGCAGTCAAAGTGTCAGAGTTAGCAACGGCACCGTGAGCACAAATACAAGCGTTTCAAGTGGGAGGATGTCGGAAGCTACAAACATTACACATCCGCCTGCGTATTCCAAGAAGTTTGTTGTGGTTGGCGATGGTGGATGTGGAAAGACGTGCCTTTTGATCAGTTATTCCCAAGGTTATTTCCCAGAGGTAGGTTCTGGCAACGCCCCGGTGAGGACTTTCCGCATCATCGCCAAACTAATTATCGTGCATCCAGAAATATGTCCCTACTGTGTTCGAGAACTACATCACACAAACCACCCACCGAGCCTCGGGCAAGACGGTTGAACTAGCCCTCTGGGATACAGCTGGACAGGAAGAATATGACCGCCTGCGTCCACTGTCATATCCGGAGACGGACCTGTTATTTGTTTGCTTTGCGATAGATTGCCCTGCATCTTTGGAGAACGTCATGGACAAGGTAATTGCCAGTTATTCCGCGACGAGTTATGGGAGCTAATACCGGCCGCAGTGGTATCCTGAAGTTCTGCACTTTTGTCCCACTACCCCGCTCATTCTGGTTGGGTTGAAGTCAGATTTGCGCTCGAAGAGAACGTGTATCGAACTTCTAAAGACCCAGGGTCTAACGCCTGTGACGCCGGAACAAGGTGAGGCGGTGGCGCGCAGGATGAATGCCTCTTACATTGAGTGTAGTAGCAAAGAAATGCGCGGCGTCGACGGCGTCTTCTCCCTGGCAGTTGATACCGTTGTCTCTGCCGAGGAACAAGACTGGAATGACCGCCAGACGTCTTCTACTCCCGGAAGCAAACCTAAAGTTGGTGGTGGCGGCGGAGGAAAGAAGGTCAAAAAGCGTTCCTGCAAGATTTTGTAGACTTTGGTCTTCTCTTGATGTTTGTCTGGTCATGATCATCTGCCCTCTTGGTTTCGCCTATTATTCCTCTTGCAATGTTTGTTTCTTTTTTGCCATTCCTGTTGTGCCGAGTGAGAAGCCTGGTTGCTTCGACGGTTCCCCCACGCTTTTTGTATGTGACATGACATGACATGACCAAGAGGCCATGAAGATGAAACACACTGCCTGATGCATCTGTGTCTGCTACTTTACCCTCTACCTACCCTTTCCACCTATACATGCCGGCGGCTTCTGGACTTTTGCTTCCTCCATGTTGCTATACCTGTTTCGACCCTGATGACTGTTTCCTTGACTTACCATTACTCTTATCATCATATCCTTCCCACCCCTTCGATTTGGCGATTGTTTTCTTTCCCCCCGTCTGAATGCTTGATGTTGTCACGAATTTGGTCTGTTGGCCACTCTTTTGCCATGCATGGGATGGGTGTTTACTGGCGCAAGCGAAAATCCCGTGTACTTGAATTGTTGAACTTGTTTTGTTGCCAAACTCATAAACTCTGTTATTACCCCCCATATGGTATCCGTATCCCGATATTTTCAATAGCAAACAGAGTAAAACAAAGATAGGAAAACAAAATAAACAATCCAACAGTACATTGTAAAAACAAAGAAGGATAACTCCTCTACCATACGCCACCAATCAACCGATCTAATCCATACCCACATAAACAACGATAACCTCAAACCAAGCCGCAGACCCATTTTATTCCTCACCGATCACCGATCATTGATGATCCTCCTCCTGAAGCTGACTCCCCTCCTCATCATCCTGATGCTGCCCGCCTCCACCCCCACCACTAGCACCGCCAGCACCCTTCTGCTCCTCCCCAGGCCTGCTGCCCATAAAGTTCTCAAACTGGGACCAGAGCGCTTCCACAGAGCCGAATTCGTTTCCCACCTGCAAGATCACAATTCCATCAGCTTAGAGTAAAGTAGAACCAGAAGAGAATAAAATAGACGGGATCTGATCCGATCTGATCTTATGTGATCGGCATGCGCGGAATGGATCGGAGGAAGAATAAGTGGGGGGTGTGGGCGAGTGATTATCCGCATGTTTGTTTGTCGGAGAAAGGTAGGTAGGTATTATTACTTACGGAAATAATGCTCTCCAGGTTCCGGTTCAGCCGGTTGATGTTTTGGAGGACTTGTTCCATACCCTGGTGATTATTTCGTTAGATTATCAGATGGGATTGAGATTATGATTTGGTTTGGGGATGGAGGGGTAGGTTGCAAGGAATGTAGTGCATAGGGCCTAGAATAAATAGGTGAAAGAACTCACCACTGCAATCTCTCTAACTAATTCTGCTCGCTGCTGTTCGAAAACTGTTGGGCTGGAGGATCGGTTTTTGGGGATTGGTGTTGTTGACATTGTGGCGGGTGGTGTGTGTGTGGTTTGGAATTTTTGGGCTGGGTGTATGGAAGGACTCAATGAAAAGAGGAAGGCAATCTGTGGGATGGTTGCTAAAAGGCTAAGTGTCTGCTGGCTTTAATCTCCTCTTGTCCTTGTATGATATCGCTCGATAGCACGCGTGTTGATTGCTTTCGATTGTGATTGTCGGTTCAATGTTGTTGGCTCGAGGCGGGGCGATTCCTGTCCTCGGATTGCCTGATTCGGTTTGGTGGCGTTTATTTTGCCCGTGGTGGTGTTCACCGCTTTTGTGGCCGCCTTGTGGGCTTATCGATAAGGATTGATCTATAGTTGAGGAGTGTATTGGGATTGCTTTGGGGAACAGTTGGGAATTTGAGCAATGCTAGATCTATGATCAGGTAAGATTACCTAGTGTGGAATATTGGCCTTGGGAGGCTATTGTATTCTCATCTGACTTAATCTGTGACATTAAACTACTGCTACGCTACAGCAATGTGATGCCATCTTGCTCAAGCATGATTGCAAGTACATAGTAACGGCCATATGTGGGTGTCTACTCTCGTGTTAGTAGGTTCTGTCCTCACCATAAATATACATTCATATATATATATGTAGACGCATAACGGTAGATCAACTAAAAAGTTCCACAGTTGACTCCCGAACTTCATCGACTTGACGTTCCTCTGACGTAACGCGTTGCCGAAGGTCTATTTAACATGGCAAGACTATCAGAATGCTATATCAAAGACAAATACAATCTCAGTCAACTATTTCAAGATGAAAGCAATTGGCGTGGAGAATTACGGTCCTATTGACCGTCTCGAAGCTCGGGAAGTCCCGAAGCCGACAGATCTCCAGCCGCGGGATCTTCTAGTTCGGTAGGATGGCTTCATCTTTTTTGTTCATATGTATAGTCGCTAAACGTTATGACAGAATTAAAGGTGTTGCTGTGAACCCGGTGGATACGAAAGTACGGAATGGTACCTATGATGACTATCCTGGTAAGACTTAGACTACATCTGACATGGAGTACCAGCTGCTTAAAATCTCGACAGACTACTACGACCGCGTTCCTCGACCATTCCAGATCACCGGCTACGATGCTTCAGGCATTATCGAAGCCGTTGGATCACAATGCTCGATTTTCAGTGTTGGCGATGAGGTATACTACTCGGGAAGCCCAATCAGACAGGGATCAAATGCCGAGTATCAACTAGTAGATGAGAGGAGTGTTGGTCACAAGCCGAAAAGACTCGATTTCGTGGAGTCGGCTGCCATGCCGTTGACGTATATCACAGCGTATGAAGCTCTCGTCGAAAGACTGGAGATAAAAAAGGGCGAAAAAGCAGCTCTCCTCATCATCAACGGGGCCGGCGGCGTGGGTGCTATGGCTACCCAGATTGCACGTGTTGTGTTGGATCTTCCTGTGGTCATCACGACAGCGTCACGCCCGGAGACAATCCAGTTTACGAAAGACATGGGTGCGACTCATGTCGTGAACCACAGAGAGGACGTTGTTGATCAGATTGAGAAACTCAACCTCGATGTACCTGTGAAGTAAGACATGTCTGTGGAAGTCAAGAATCGTTACTAACAGCAGCCAAGGTATATCTTCATCACTCACTCCACAGACCAGTACATGGAGACGTGCGCTCGGGTCTGCGCGCCCTTTGGCAAGGTCTGCTCGATCGTCCAAGGTCAAGCTAAGATGTATGGAACGGAGTTCATGTCGAAGTCGTTGACGTTTGTCTGGTGTCTGCTTGGAACCAAGCCGTATCATAAGGTGGATGTCGAATCGCACCATCGCATACTGGAAGAGCTTACAGACTTGATTGATGCGGGAAAGATCAAGTGCCATCTCACAAAGCGACTGAGGTTGACGCTTGACGGTGTGAAAAAAGGACATGAGCTATTGCAGTCTGGTGGGAGTATAGGCAAAGTCGGGTTAGGTGTAGATGAGCCTGGACCTGGAGAGATCTTCACATAGTGATGTGACGTGTAACTCTTAATTACACAAAGATATGAAATTCCGCAATACAAACAAAAATATGGCCATAATCGTTCTATATCACCGCCAATGATACCTATGTATGAAGATCCTCGGTCTTGCTTCATCCACTGTCCACCGCGACCACCACATTCCAACCATCTACCTAAAGATGAGAAAAGAGAGACCTTAAAGTACCCCGAAATATCCAGAGCCAACCTCCGGTATACACAGGTGTAACGAACAGGTGTTTACGGCCCTCGCGGTTTCACAAAATAATACCATGAGATCCCTAATCAACTGCATACGATCAAAGACCACAACATGCAAGTTAAATCCCTTAACAAGATGCATACAAAAGTCATAACATACACTAACCTACCAACTCCAAAACACCCATCAGTTCAAATGACCATTATCTTGGAAAAGTCCTCCACCCCTTCCCCTCAACGCCTCCAAGACTTTGCGTCCCTCGCCACTAAAACAGTGCACCTACACCAACATATCCACAAACAACACACCCAACCCAAAGCTACACTCCACGCGTCCAGCCACAAACCAAGCGACCCGAGCAATCCAGATCCAACGTGGAAGAAAAAACCCGCACTGGCACAGACGCAGACACCTATTACGTCTCATCAGACGTGTTCTGGTGCGTCGCCACAGAAGAAAAGCAAGTCGGCCAGTTACATATACTGACCCGGTGTAGGTACTTAACAGGTTTCAGCCATACAAGATCCAGCAAGGCATGCTAGCCAATGCCCAGGGTTCTCTTATCACGTCACCATCAATCAATCACCCCATACACTCCCTTCCGATAGAAGGGTCCGGTACGTACACAGCGAGCAGGGGGGGATCTACATGGACACGTGTATTTCGTCGGAGATAGTGGTGGTGGATGGACCCTTGGGGGTTTAATGGACTAGGGAGGGGGCTTGTTGTGGAGTGGAAGGCTTGGTGCCATTTGAGTTAGCGTTATGAGCTGAAGGAAGGGAGGGCATTTCTATTATTATGGTGGCGTGGCAAAGGATCCGAGTCATAGACTCTCAATGAGTCTTCCGTAGTGTAATCCTACATAGTGTTGGATGAAAGTCAAGTTGCTGTACGCGTGTGTGCGATATTCTAAGGGCTACTTGGCCAATAGATGAGTTAACGGTAAGACGCGATAACGAGGGACTGATCGCACATAACACATAAGATAGAAAACGAGCCAACAAGTCAGCTTATAGCAGGACCAACTATACATTTAACTCTACTAAAAGCTCAAATAAATCAAGCTACTACCGGTACATGATGGATACCATCATCACACCCGACCCAGTTGCGTACCCGTGGAGAGAATTGAAACAAGTTCAGACCCACAATCATAGATAGCATCATAAAACTAATTGCTCTGCCTAACTAGTCATTTTACCCCAACAAACTAGCTAAATAGTCTTCTAGAATACAAAAACCGACTAGCAGCCTCTTCCCTATAGCATAGTAAACTACCCCCACCCATCATGCTATGACAATGAACACATCCATCCAATATTACCAGCTAGCAAGCTAACTAGCTACTAGCTAGTGAGTTTACGCCATCACTTGCGTAAGCACTCAATCCTGAGCATGATAACCAATCAAGATGATTACCACCACGTAGACAGTGCACTGCACTTCTCAGTGGGCGATAGTTGTCAGATACATGACGGGAGTGTGGAGGCCACTAATCATTAGTAGTTCCAGTGGATGGAGCGATGATGTCAATGCACTGAGCTAGCTGGTTAGCTAGGTAGGTAGGGCTTCAGGCATCAAGGTTTTAGTGCAAAATTTGGTAGTTATCACGGATGATAGCAATTCCGTGCGATCATAGATCTGATTGAGGATGACGACAGTGGTAGTGGTCATTGGGTATCGATAAAGAAGTTGTGACAGTAGATGTCATAAGGATTTAGGAGCGACAGTTTTAGAAGAGCTTTCGGGTATGAGACCTGGGGAGTGTAAAAGAGGAAGTAAGGATAGAAAATAATCTCAAATCCAGATCCTTTCAAATTGATTCTGCCTACTCCGTCGCTAAAGGACGAATAAAATAAACCCAACCAATTCAGTCCAGGCCAGCCCAACTCAATCATATGTTTGTAACTCTGTATCCGGATCTATCGAACTCCCGAGTCATGTCCGTATCTTCGTATCGTTTCGTCTTGGCTTTTATCGTTTCTTTGTGTATATATCGTATCGTAGCGTATCATCTGCGTAACTGACAGTCGCCAGGACCGTGGAATTTTGTGGCATAGAGTGGAGGAATTAGAGGAGAGGAGGAAAAGCTAAAGAGTATCATGCTGAGCCTCTTCTGGCTGGGACGAGGATGGTGCTAAGACGCTTCCAGCGCTGTGTGGGTGAAGTGGGTGAATCGCGATCTAGACGGTTGTCTAGACTCGGCTTAGAAGAGGATTGAGTGGAGGATCGGGGCCTAGTGACAAGCGCTTCATGGTCGGCTAGGACATCCTCGAGCCGGACATCGCAATCAGACATGCGCGGCCGAGTATCATTGGGGTCGAGAATCTCGATAAATTTGGACGACATATCGCGCATCTTTCGATTGGAGAATGACTTGGTAGAGGGAGGTTGGTGGTGTTCGTTGATTCTTTTTTTTGTTGGGCGGAATGCGGCTTTAACGTTTTCTTTTTTTGTCTCCTTCGCGGCGGCGACGATCACGAGGGTGATTGGGGAACTTTGTTGGTGAAATAGTCGGCGGTGGAAAAAGTAAACCCAACCGGGTCGGAGAAGTAGGTTCGTGATGGAAGTTAAGGGAATAACTAGGAGCACTGTCCACCGTGAAGCGAAGAAGATCCGGATAACCGCTGGCGGATATATCTTCCGTGCGGACAGAGAGTGGCCAGGGAGTTGGAGATGAGCAGAGGGGTAAACGACTGGAACATGAAGGACAAAGGAGGAGAAGGAAGAGAACGAAGATGAAAAAGGCACAGACTGTGCAGTAGCGGGTGATGCCGATTCGCTGAGCACGGTTTCAAGTATGCGCCAGGCAGGGATGTTCGAGCGGTCTTCTGCGTCAGAGCGGATGAGCTGACAGAGAATGGCCCTGAAAGAAATATTCTCGTTGTTGGAGAGGGATCTAGGCGCCGTTGACGTCCGGGGAAGATGGGTAGTATTTATTATTGCACAACGATTTTACTTTTTGAGTTCCTCTATGATGAGGGTGTACCCATTGACCCGCCAGTCATAGTGCCGCGAGTTCCGCATCACAAAGCAAAAGTAAAAAAGCCAAATTATTTGCCAGAACACGCGGGGGTTGGGGGGGGATGTGGGAAGGGATCAACTGAGGGACTGGGACGGTGGCGCATCCGCCAGGGTACGAGTGAGCAAGGGCATCAGCGGCCATATACGCCGTGTGCCCGGGTAGAGCATGTTGTGATGGGCTACCGGACCCTCTGATTGACGGGGCTGGCGGGGGTCAATCCTCAGGAAGGAGGGAGGAGTTCCGACGATGGTTCGTCCGTCATACCGAAGGGTGTGAGTGTGATTGCCGGTGCTGATGAAGCGGATGATGCGGTGGATGCGTGGCGTTGGGTTGGGTTGCTGGTCGTAGCTTCGCCCGATCAGTCGTCAATCGTCAATAGTCATTGCGATCATGTCTGCAAGCGCGTTCGAATGGAGCTCCTGTTCCCTTAATTCCTGATCCAGTAAGACGCGATATCGACTCGACTCGACTCCACTTCCACTGCCCTGCGGACCCTCCCGCCCGTCCCGGAGAGTGAGACGAAGAGTGAGAGCATGACGTCGCACCGAATAAATGCGATCCATGGATCGTGTTCTGCAGAGCTATCCGGTGGCTCTAGGTGTAAGAAAGAGATACTGGTTGTGCTCAACCACTCTAACCATTGTTGTGGTGGGGTTTGGAGTCATCGCAAAGGGAGCTGATGTGTCCAGCTCCATCGTTGCAGAGGCTGTCCATACAAATCGCGGGGATGACGGCAGATCGGCTTATCAAATGGATACGGCCCTCAGACGATCCATGTGCAACGCAACGAGCCCATCGATCAGCGAGGTTATAAATAGAATGATAATGGAGAAGAATGGAGCGTGTATTGGACAAGTCTAGCGGAGGAATTGAGGTTGAGCCACGAAAAACTCCACGAGAAAGTCACTCCAGAGTCACGGGATACCTCCCCAGAAGCATGTGCTCGCCGTGACGTCATGGCATCGTTGCTTCATCTGTGCTTCGCCTCCATTCTTCACCAGCCGCAATAATTACTGGGCTTACTGTTGGTTGTCTGTTGCTGGCACAATGCCACTTCATCATCGCAATGCCTACTAAACGTGCCAGGAAAGATCCATCGGTGGCACAGAAGCCGCCATCCCCTCCTCCGTCCGAGAAGAATGCCGTCATCGCGCAAGACATCCCAGAGGAAGAGGAAGCAAAGCGAGAATCAGCTCCTCGAGATGAGTCGTACACACCTGAGTTCTTCGATGAAGATGAAGAGATGCCCGAAGAAACGGAGAATACCATCGATCCCGACACTGGAAAAGCAGCCAAAAGAACGGCCGACTACGCACTAGGAGGGGGAGGGTACAACGCACTCAAGTCGTACAAAGGACAGATGTACTCCGGAATGGCTGTTGGAGGTTCACACACCTGGACATACGACCAAGGAACGTGGAAGGAAACCAAGGAAGAACCCGATCTTTGGAGAATTGACTACCAGACGAACAAAAGACGGGCGAGGAAAGCGCCTACAGGGAGTGGTGCGCCTGTGGGAACCGAGTATCACTGGCTGATTGTAGGCCATCAGGTAGGCCACACCATCTCATGAGACGACGGCTGGCTCACCCCCCCCCCCACAGCATGTCAAGAAGATCGATGCCAACACGTACGAGACGCACCTCACGGGCTCAAAGTATAAACTGGCGTACAAGTCCGCGTCATCGAACTCTTGGTCGGTGCCGACCGTCAAGAAGCAACGGGACCGGGAAGTGGAATTGCTGGATGATGCTAAACAGCGCGTCCAGGGACTGCCGCCCGTGCTGGCATCAGAGAAGGTTAAGGTTGAGAAACGCGAAAAGGGTCAACAAAGCCTCGAAAGCATGTTTGGAAAGGCTGCGGGCGTGAAACGAAAAGCGAATGAAAATGACTGATGCGCGTTGCTTCGAACGAATGATATGTGGCTGGGCCATGTCGTGTCTGCTTCGGAATACAATATACAAAAGTCATTCGAATATACTTTACTGGAAATATGATAATCGATCCAAGGAGACGGGTCGGGCGCACCCTGGTCCATACTCTGCCAAAGCTTCTACTGTGAGGTTATTCAGCGGGTCAAACAACAATCTAGATCCAGCAGCACTGATGAAACCGCAAGACCAACGATCGGTAGCAGAGCAACGAAGTCGAGCACGTAAGATAACTGGATAAAAGCATGGCTACAGCCGTGAGCTCTACTACCCGAAAGCATAAACTCAATCCAAGGTCACAGCCAAATCTAGACTCACCCGCGAACAAACAAAACTCAACGCGCATGGCACAATCTAGAACATCAAGAAGAAGTCAATCTCCGACCCACAATCTCATCCCATCCCTTGGAACCGTGACATCATCCACCCCAAACCCAATATAAGCTTAACTTTGGCCTCATTCCAGACCTCTCCTAGACCATCCATCCGCGGTCTACCTTCCCCTTCAACATCCGCCACCCAACCACCCCCAATTTTTCCACCACCATCCTGGCAGCAATCCGCATTCATGTCCAAACGCATCAGCACCTTCTTCCAACCTCTTCCGTCGAAGAAGAAACTCAAACCGGATGCGACTACGACAGCAGAATCATCATCATCATCATCAATAACAACAACAACAGTCCCACCAAAACCATCCACATACACCCATCACCCAAGCTATCCCATCCCGATCCGCGACCCGCCCAGCACCATCACCACGTCTCTCCTCTCTAATCCAGCACCTCGACCCCCCAAATCCATAACCAACCACCCGCACCTGGATCTCCTCTACTTCCAACCCTTTCTCCCCGCCCCACTAGCCCGAGACTTATTCGAGTTCCTGCGGAATGAACTCCCCTTTTACCGCGTCCAATATAATATCCGGCGCGGCGGAACAGAGACATCCATAAACACGCCAAGATACACGACTGTCTTCGGGGTAGATGATACATCGACATTCACTACTGCAAAAAACTCGGAATCTGTTTCTACTAATTCCAGTAATCCTGACACAAAAGTCCAAGAAGACACCACAACAAGCCACAATCTACTAGACTCCCCTCAGCAACTACCACCCGCCAACTCACCAATATTGGTCGACAGTAAAACACGCACCGAAACCAAATCCAGATATCGATGCAGGCCTCGACCCATCCCGCCGTGTCTGGACATTCTGCGCCAAGCAGTGGAGAAGGCCACGGACGATGGGACAAGATATAATTTCGTCCTGGTGAATTACTACGCCACAGGGGACGATAGTATCTCGTACCATTCGGATGATGAGCGGTTTCTGGGCCAGAATCCCACCATTGCGTCCTTATCGCTTGGCGTGGGGAGAGATTTCCTGTTGAAGCATAAACCAGGTGGTGGTAGTACTACTACTGATGCTGATCGTGCGATTGCAAATGCAGCTGCGAAACCGCTCAAGTTTCCCCTCAAGTCCGGCGATATGCTGATTATGAGGGGCGAGACTCAGGCAAATTGGCTGCACAGTGTGCCTAAGCGTAAGGGGTTGCAGGGAAGTGCTGGTGCTTTGGGCCGGATTAATATCACGTTTCGGAGAGCGGTGGTGCCTGGCGGCACGGAGAATTATTATCGATATAATGTGGGTGATGGAGTGGTGTATCGCTGGAAGGATGAGGAGGGGAAAATGGTGGCTACTACTGAATAGTTTGTAACTGTGTTGTAGCTTTATACTTATTTGTAGATACAACTGGATTGGAGGAATAGGGAAAGGGAGGCACTCAGTGCGAAGCAAACGGGTTGGTGTAAGCTCGGAAGCGATCAAGTGGCTGCGCACTGTTGAGGATCTTGTGCAACAATGCCCCGTAGTCCCATCCGATAGCTGCGGCCGCAAGAGCAGTTAGACTGGCCTGGTCCTCGCGTCCAGGTCGTCCAGGCCCGGTCATATTCTATTCATCATTAGCTACGGTTCGGTGATTGAAGAAACATGAACATACAGGTTTCATATTGATATCGAAGATGGCAAACTGTGACCCCTCGCTAAACCGTCTAATGTCAATGCGAATGGGTGCCGTCGCCCCAATTAATTTGGCGACCTGCTCGCACTGTCGCATTGCGCTTCTGTACGACTCATCCTGCATTTCGGTTTCTGTGATAGCGCGCGAGTTCGCAGTCACGGCCACTGTACCATTGTATGGCACAATGCCATCGACATGGTTGAAACGGGTGATCGGGGGCAGGCTCCAGTACTCTGGATTCTCTGTCGATGGCGGCATAACTGTGATCGTTGCCTCTTCGCCCGTGAGATATTCTTCCACCATGACGATGGGAGACTCGAGCAGCAGAGCGTTGAGATGTGCCTCGAGCTCGGCTCGATTATGGCATACCTTGACACCGTGGCTGCCGCGACCACGGACGGGTTTACCAACCACGGGATAGTTTGGAATGGAGTCTAGTATAGGGGAGATATTATCCGAATTGCGGATCAACCATGAGCGGGGGAGGGTAAATGAGCCATGGATACGGAGTCGGTCGTTGAGATAGGCTTTGTCATCGAAGGATTCAACCAGGGTTGGTGGCTGTCCGACAACAGAGATAGGGGCTGAAGCAAGAGACTGCGAGGCTTGTAGTGGATGTGAGGAGAAGAGGATCGTGTTGGCCCAAAGGTGCGTTGCCCCTTGGCGCACAGCAGAGAGGATCCCATTCTCTGTGTCCGGGAAGCACCAGCCTTCTTGCTCTTTGGGGTTCGGAGAAGAAACCGGAGTCACGACTCGTACGCCACGGTTTTTGAGAGTGTAGGCGATGTCTGATCCCGAGTCTTGGTAACCTGGCATCTGTATTAGATTGAGTCCTTGGGATAGCAGGAGTGGGGTGTTATACCGCCAGGCTTGCGGGGCTTGCGAGCGCCGTTGATGATGGGCGGCTCGATGGCCTGGTAGAGAACTGCGACTACCGGAGGGGTAGTCGCGTTATGCAAGGATCGGGTTATCTGTGTCATGGGTAGACTCATCGTGTTGTTTAGGTGAATAGTTGACTAGGAGCTGGAAATGACGAAGTCTGTTTTATAGATGTGGAGCAACCCGAGAAAAGCGCCGGCATCGGATGAATCCTGCTGATCCTCGGATAGATCCGAAAACACGGAGTAGCCCGCATTTGCCGATTGTACTCCTGATAGCTTCGTTGTGGTATGGAATAGAACGATGGCCGACTGTTTAACTGCTCAGAAAGATCCGGAGAAAGTTCTCAAGGTCGTTTGACGATGTATTGCAAGTAAAGCAGCACGGCAAAAGATTCCTATACCGGATCCCCTAATATCGCATGCCCCGTACCAGTTCGTCGACAGGAGTAATAAACCGTGTAGAGTAGAGTGTATAGGCATTACTTCCGATATCAAAGACATTGGACCGGTCCTCTGTTGGTAGAGATTAATAGGCACTTCCTCCAGCTTCTTCGAACGCTATCTGCTGGTGTACGGTCATCGTTCTGAAGGGGTGAGTGAGGTGATTTCTGTAATGAAGAGCATGGATCTGTCGTCGATAAGAGTCCGGTAGTTACAGAATGGGTCTGTAACAGACAAGTTTGTTAGCTTCAATTGTTGACAGGAAAACTAGGATGTCATACCTCAAAGATCTGGCGACAGTTGTCTGGCAATGTTGAGTGGTGCTAGATGCAGCCTTAACCTGGGATGGCTTCCTAGATTAGATGCCCTTGTGCAAACAAACAGATTCGAACGTCGATGATAATGGTATCTTAAAGTCAAGGGAGCATGAGTTGGTCCAGACGACCTCTGATGCTACTCTGCTGCCTGCAGCAAGTGGAAAGACTTGAAACCCAACATTGGGACAACGAAGGACTTGTGACCTGCTCAGCGAAATGACAGCATGGCACAGCCCTAGAGTGATTTAGTGTGATTAGAGTCTGCTGGAGATGGGCAGAAGTGGGCCCTCAAAATAAGCAAGGGCGCACTAGACAAACCAAGCAAACGCCGGTGACTGGATTTAGGACCCCAGGAATATACGTACATATGATAAATAGACACTATTTCATGGTATACACAGGTCTCAATTATATTTCTACCATATACGCTAAGACATAGGATCCGATGGATGAGATACTGCCTTTGTCCATGGCAGCAAGCGAGTTGTCCGTATCTAAACTTGCTAGGAAGCATATCGACAATGCGAGCGAAAAGTATGCTGGGATCATATGTGTACAACAAATGCTTAGGGATTATGGCAGTAACTGTTTGTTTGGCAGAGGTTTTTCTAAAAAATTGTCTTACCCCATGAGACTGCCCTGTCCAAGCGACGTACGCGAAAACTTTCAATGTGACTGAATATTGACTGCGTACCATCACAAGGGTACTAGGACAAGCTGATGACATGAGCGATAATAGCGTGGTTATGAGGTATCACATAGCGGTGCTGAAGGGGCTGCAGTGGCTCCTATTTGTTTGACTCGAGTCCCTGTGTAAATGACAATGGATGACTGATGGAACTCAGCCGAAAATGAATCAACTTTGCGCTGACTGCATGACATGAATAAAGCCGAGACCCTCCTAATAGAATCTATGGTCGAGACCCTTTGATCGTCAGACACGCGTGAAGACGGATCTCGCTTCTGCGGAATTGCGGATAAGCGATATAACTAACACTCTCGGTATTTGAAAAGGATTATCTGATATATCACATCCGCCGAAACACTTTCAATAAATACGTACTGCCATCACACGGGGCTTTTGCATTCGCATGTCCTTCGGATAAAGCGCCATCGGTTATGTCCGACTGTCTGACGGCAAATAATTGATACATCACCTCACGGATTTGCCGATGGCAGACGTGGCTAACCTACCATGATCGCACCTCATCTAGCCAGAAGGATAAGTGTGCTGGGGGCTATTTAGGACTAGCCTTACAGCGTTTACTTCTGATGGCGCCGATCCCAGGAGTGTTGAGGCTGATGGAACAGGGGGGCTGTTGAGTTGGCTCACGGACGATCCGAATCTCCCCCAAAGGTATGAAATCTGAAAGAGGTTAGTTACTCCAGAAATGGCCACGAAAACGAAGATTTGAGAGCTTCACGTCTAATTAAGTCTGATGCTGCTGATTGGCACTTTCGATGTCATGAGGCTGAGGGGATGGCAGGCTGAGCGAGGGTCACGTTAACAGTCGGGGTAACAGGGGAAACTCGCTCCGAGCCAACCAACCAATCAACCATTTGCTACCGTCTACAAGCAGCGACCAAACTTGAAGTCAGGTGAAATGCGGGATCTGAATTGAGGTCGCATATCACGCGCGAAGCTTCGGAGAAGACCGACGACCGCTAAAAGAGGCGAACGGGGTCCAGGGACTAATTGAGAATGGCAGAATCGGGAGATTGAGTATGTACTGACTGCCGGTACTAGATACAAGAAGATACAAACATTCAGCAAATATAGCTACAACCTCGGTCTCCATCCACTCTCCTTGACTTCCCTGCGACTCTCTTCCCGCAACACTCGCTTGAGAATCTTGCCACTTGCCGTCTTAGGGATGCTCGGTACAAACTTGACACCCCCTGTGAGCGCTTTATATCCCGCCAACCTCTCCAATAACCAGCTCTTTACCATATCCTCCGTCAACCTGCTCTCATCGGTCTCGGGCCGGCGGACTACATACGCTCGCGGCAACTCCGTTCCCGGGACCACATCCCGCAACCCAATCACGGCAGCATCCACGATGAGCGGATGCGCCAACAGCACGGCTTCCAGTTCCGGTGGAGCAACTTGAAATCCTCGGACCTTGATCAGCTCCTTTTTGCGATCTACGATATACCATTTCTGGGTAGCACCATCGCAATACGCGATGTCCCCCGTGTGGAACCAGCCCTGCTCATCGAAGGATTCCGCATTGGCAGCTGGGTTGTTGAAGTACCCCGGGGTGACGGCAGGACCGCGGACACACAGCTCGCCTCGCACTCCATATTCGGAAATATTAGCTCCGTTGTCGTCTACTAATCTGTATCATTAAGTTAGCCTCGAACTGATGGAACGAAGGAAGAACATACTTAGCCTCCATGTTCGGCACTAGCCTCCCGACCGACCCTGTCTCATCCCCTTCATCCCAGCGGAACATTGTCGCAATACAGCATGTCTCTGTCATACCCCAAACCTGCGTACAATTGGCCCCTGGCCCAAGCAACATTTGGAACCGTTTCTGGGCGTCTTTATCCATGGGTGCCGCGCCCAAATTGCTCGCCCGGATTGAGCGCAGATAGCCCCGTTCGTAAGACATCGGATGCATGATGATGGCAATGGCAATGGGCGGAACAACAGCCATCTCGGTGACTTGGTATATTTCAACCGTCTGCAAGAAGAGGGGTAGATCGAAACGCCGCATGACGTAGTTGATATGGCCAGCTTTTAGGCTGCCGAAATGGCTGCTGGGAGCAGCAGCGGCGTGAAAAAGGGGAACAGCGATGACTCTGCTTACCTTTATAAGTCACTTGTCAGCCAGACAGTCATTCGTTCATCGATAGGGTTAACGGAGACATTTCAAAGTGAGGTACATACTCGCCATGGTCGCGGATTAAACTCAAACACAAACTCGTGTTGGGCGACAAGATTCATATGCGTGATATCCGCCGCCTTGGGAAGTCCTGTAGTCCCGCTACTGAACAGCCTGGCTGCCGTAGTTGTCCTAGACATCTCCTCGTTGTCAAACCTTACCCAGTCTTGTTCACCATGTTCGAGCAGCTCCGTCCAGGACACCGCTCCATCTGGTACTGACTGTCCCAAAATATCGAATACCCGGATCCGATGTGTTGGGATTGATGTTGCTTTCGCTGCCGTAGTTATCGCATCCAGATGCTCCGGCTCTGTGATGATAAAGCTCGTCGCTGAAGAGCGGAAATGATGGCCTAATTCGAAGGTCGTGTAGGCTGGATTTGAGCCCGTAAAGATCCCCCCGGCGCCAACGATCGCCAGGACTAGCATGGTATAATAGATCTATCATTTGTGAGTGACCAACTGGCAGTGGAATCGGAGATATAGAAAAAAAAAAAAAAGCGTACATCATTGAAAGAGTGAATGGCGACACAGTCGCCCTCTTGCACGCCCCAGGCGCGCAGCCCCGAGATCAGTTGGCGAACAATAGTCCGGGCTTGGTTGTAGGAAATGGAGCGAGAGGGATTATGGACATCGACGTAGATCTGTACCAGTTAGAGGTGCTCTGTAGACGAGAAGAAAAGAGATTCGAGAAGAGGAGAATGTATCCCCCATCGGAATATTACCGGTTCGTTATGATTGTAGGGCGGGTCAGAAAAGACATAGGAGATCACATCGGTGCACGGCACCGGGGCCCTGGCTGCGGGTTCAAAAATCATGCTAGATGGACAAAAAGAAAGGACCCGGGGGGACGCGAGGATGCAAGGATGCAGGGACCAGGAAGACGCATGCTGACCGATATATAACCTTAGCTGAGGTGAACCCAGCCGCGATGCTGAAATAGGGTTTATCGTTTTGTCTGGAAGGCCAGGACGGCACATCCACCCGGAGCCGGCAATTGGCACTGACTCGAGTACTGGACACATGGCCAGCATGGTGTGACTGGGACCCCCGCCTGCGACAAAGGCATTGTTATTCAACGGCCCTTCGGTAGACCATTCATGGAACGCCAGACCTGCAGATCGGAGAATATTGAGGAATCAGCGTGCACTGGCCTGGCCGGGGGTACTCGGATTTTAGTGTTGCGTGTCGTTGGGAAATGGCCAGAGAGACCAATGGCTGCGAGGCTAGCTGATAAACAGCCCCCAGCAGGCAACCCACCGACCCGCAGCGCTGCATTTGGCAGCTGCCTTCAAGCCAATAATTAAGCTCTCCTGCGCCCGAGAAGCTCGCCAACGGCCGTGGCATGGCAGCTTGGATCCTCGGCCCATGCTTATCACCGATTACAGCCGAACCTGCACGGATACCTTTTCATTCTCCGCACCGCTACAGTGGTGCCGAGCACAAGAACATTATCAATGCGACGAATCCCACGCCAATCTGTCCAAGCGCAGAGTGAGAGTCTCATGATTTGCCGACGGGTTCGGTGACAGCACAAGACTTGATAGCGACCGCAGCATCGTGCTGATTGTTATCACCGAAGTCGAATCTGAATCTACAAGCCCGCACAGATCCGGTCTGCGTTGGCCGCAATGGAACAGGCCTGACCGTGACGAACCCCATCATGCTAGGCTGCCGCAGACCGTGCCTTCGTTAGGAAAGTAGTCAGCGCGGTATGCACTGGGCTAACCGTTGTTGCTGTCGAGCATCAGGCCCAGATTATGACAAACAGCCACCCCTGCAGGATCGGCCCGTCAGTCGATGACCGTGAATAGCGACATTATGGGGATAATAGAAGAAACATCAGAAATTGGAGGGACTAGATTTATTTGTTTAGGCATGCCTGCGGCTTGAGTTCTTGTCGTCTTTGCTGAAGGAGATTATGCCAACCCTCTCGTAACAACCCACGCGCATTCGGGTGAAAGCATCTGGCTTTCACGTCTGCCTCGCCAATCTGACGTTGTGACATTTGGCCGGAAAGCTTTGGCACTGTCGCCATTCAGCGATCCTAGGAGCCATCCGAGACATATTGAGGCGTGTGATGTGCCTGATTGAGAATGTACGACGACCCCCCATCCGACGGGCTACGTTCAGCTCCGATCTCAAGCCTCGCAGAGGACACAAGCTGTAATGATGTTAATATTTTAGCGGGGCAATGCCGGAGCGAACAAAAGCAACGTGATACACATTGAGTGTTTGAATCAAACCACTTGTATGAGGAGAAAGAATGCTCCGGACAGAGCTGGCTACAGGACCTTGGATTACCTCGCGCATCCAATTCTTTAATAGCAAGCTATTTGTGACGACGCCTGATGCGCTCATGAGCGTACAAAGAGTTGCGGCAATCGTGAAGACGCGGACAGGGCCTGCGCAGTGGCGCCGGCTTATAAAGGAAAAATATAGATCAATAGAGACCTTGAGACTTATGACCAGACCGTGTGTACATGCAAGTGGTACACAGGAGGCAGCGCCGAGAAGTAGAATGGGGTGTGGTGTGGCACTCATGGTGTAAATATCGACCATGGTGTCCCTTGGTCTCGGTCATAAACTTGACAATGGCAGACCCATGCTGGGTTAGCTGACTCATATAGCATTTGACAGGTGTTTGTGACTCACGTAACTAGTATATTCGACGGTACCGACATTTTCTTGCAGGAGGGGAGCAGTGCGAGGTTCCTCTTCAATATGACAACGCCGCACAAACCTACAGCAAAACCATCGAACGCTCTTGAAAGGGGGGCCTGTAGGCTCGCATCGCTCCGTACCTGCCTCTTCTTTCCATACATCTTGGTGTGTTGTACTCGGATGCAAACTCATCACAGGCTATGACGCCAAGATCAAGGCTACCCCCCAAGGCTTGGAGCCAAGGGCAATATCTGGGGATGGAAGCCTCTGTGACCTGAGATGTTCTTGTCTGATAGAACAGGCAAACATAGCCGAGTACTACATCGGCTTTGGCAAGAGATGAGTGGCCATGTATCTGAGATCTTGTCTTCGGGTGATGGTTGCTCTTCCTGGCCGTCAATGCACGGCTGGGGTTGTGGTTACACGAAACCTTTATCCAATCCATAGAGGAAATTATGCTTCGTCTCAAAATCACGCGGAAGAGGCGTCCCCTTGGCAGGCGCATCTGCATCTCATTAACCGGCTTGGCTCGTCTAAGTTGGCACATAGCCTGGTGACAATGATGGCTTCAATCTAGACCATGTTCGGATCCGGAGTTTCTGTTGTTCGACTATTCCATTCTCCTTTGTTCCGATCGAAGCATTTTCTCTGTGAATTTACTTCCCTTGCCCCGAACATCAAGGTCACAAAAATATTGACGTATTCCCTTACGGTCTACTCCGGGCCATTCGTAAATGTGCAGAGTAGAGGGCCTTGCAGCGGGGTCATGAACGAATTTCCGCGGCAGTCCCCGATAAGCAATATCCAGGGTGGTACGTAGTGTTTTGCAGGGATCCCCGCAGATGAGAGGAAATGAATTGCCCAAGTCTGAGGTTCCGAGTTCCAAGGTCCTCTGGCTGAACCCTGCTCGATGCAGGGTCTTCCACACGTTCAACCTTAAGTGTCAGAGTGGTATTTGTTCTCAACCTCTGCTCGTGTGGCAGGACAATACGTTTGAGCCAGGTGAGCAGTATACCAGCTTGGGAAAGAAGACATATGTAGCGAGGTAGCACAGGCCAGCAGAATGCCAAGAGTCTTCTGCGCGGGTTAGCGTTGTACATGCTTGACGTTGCGAAATTCACCGGGGTTCTTCCGAATGGCGATCTCCAGGCCGTCAAACAGGAAGCCATGCCTTTCCTGACGGTCGCGATCCAGCAACATGGCTAGACTTGCATTCAAGGCGATAAGACCCATATCTTGAGCACAGGAGTATTCTGATTCGTAGTGACCCGAGGAGAGAATCTAGCGGCAATATCGATATTCCCGCCGTCAAAAGCCGCCTCGCGATGGAACCCAGACCTATAATGATTTCACAAGCAACACGCCGAGGGCTGAATAACACATTCCTAATCGGTCATATATTTAGCGCAGTGCCTGGGACGTTTGCCAAAACGCCACCAACTTTTTTGGCTCCGGATGACTGGCTAACGCTGCTGTGGTCATATTTTAGCCGGTGGGTCTCGATTAGGGGGAAACACGGTGCCGTAATTTGCAACAAGGTTGACGAGTTTGACAGAGAAGGCAATGCCAACTCGATTTGGATGGCTGTCTTGATGAAAGGATCATCTGTAAGCCGGATGTTAGTCTCGCTCCGTTCTTTTCATTTCGTAGCCACCCAGCGGGTAATCCTTGCAGATGGCTGAGCAGTGCCTGGATACTTTTGCTGTTCCAGTCCTGTCAGGTCCCTAGGAAAACCAAACACTATAAACCTGGCAAAAGGAAGGGTGCATTCGTATGACTATATGATCTTCCTTAGGTAAGATACGACTCGGGCGCCCAGAATCCTGTTGTGGAAGTATACAGAAGGTATCAGTAGCAGCGCCTAAACTTGGAGACGGGCATTTTACTTCGATGATCAACAGAGCTGGAATGTACCTCTGACACCACTCCCCTTTGTCACGCTCAAAGTCAGATTCTTAAGAGACAGCATATAGTATGGTTAGCCTGTTGGGTGGCTCCCGGGCCGGTGAGGGACCAAAGGAAAAGTTTAGCAGAAACGTCACTAAAAGAAACCAGTCAACACTATCCCTCACTTGCCCGAAACAAGTAAACCAAGCGGTAGGATTGCTCCGAGTCCCGGTTACAGAGACTTTGTGTTGCTGTCTTCCTGAGGCATGCCCCTGGGGGGCCACTTACAGCGGCGTGATAACCAGGAAATGGCTTGTGCATGTGTTAATAGGATCCAGCTGATAACCACCTATGTTTTATCTGTCCTGTCAGAGTATCCGTGTTGCAGAAAGATAGCAGATGAGTGCTTTGTGGTCGCATGAACCTTCTTCTGGGCATGGCTGCTCCACTCCCCTTCACAACGCTCGGGTAAGCCGAGCATCAAACACCTGCAGAGATCAACCTCTGTGGCGTCTCATGGTAAAGAGACAACCGCATCTGCTTTCAGTTCTTCTTCATGTCGAAATTAATCTTAGAGACTCTAGATCTCCTCCCTGCAGCCACGCGAGACGCGTATATAATTCTGTACTACTGAAGGCTGTAATAGCACAGGCTCATGATAATTCACCATAGGTCATTGATCTTGATGGCCTAGTGGATCAAATTCGAAGCAGATTGGAGGAACTATTGTCTCCGATAGATCAGAAGTCGCCATCTTAACTGATAGATAACAATCTGCTGGCGGATAAGTGCATGCGGCACTACGACTGTGCTACTGCACGACACGCATAGTTTTGGTTTCGCAAACAGTTCAGGTAATCCTATTATTATTTTTTCCATTTTTCGTAAACCCTCAGTGAACAGACAACGCTCCCAGCTTGTTGCGCAGTTGTTCGGATTTGACTTATGGGGAACCAAGTCATAAGGCTGAGAGGTCAGTGGCATGGACGCCCTATAACACACAAGTGAAAGATCAGCCAAAGTTCGAGAAGTCGGAATCGGAACGATCGACAGAGGTGGTACGTATAGGGATTGGAAGGCATCACAAAGGGATCTAAACCTAGAATAGAGGATTGAGTAATATAGTCCAACGGCCACTGAAATTACAGTCAATGGTTTCGATGAGCTTCGATTCCTTCCATCCTGGGTGCCTCACATGCAAGTCGAAATGAAGGCTTGCAGGTGTAGCAGCATCTTCAGCAAGTTGCAGGAGGTTGAGGCGTTTGGCTGGTTTGCAGCAGCCAATGAGCGTGATCAGATGATCTCTTTGTAGGGAGTTGAAGGGAGTAGTCACTACTTGAGTGTACTTCTTACTACTAAGTACTACCCCTCCTCCTAGTGACTTCCGAGGGGCTTTCCAACTTCCAACTTCGCACTACTACAATCACTACATCCTCTTACGTTCCATCGGAGCCAATCCCATCCCCTGCACTTCCACTTCTTCCACATTCAGTTCTTCTAGCGCTACCTTCAATTTCCTAATGTGGTAGCATTTCCAGCTCTACTATACACAGTATCTCACTCCACTCATGAACATTCCTTGTTTTCCCTCTCCTTTCCCGACCCGCTACCACATGGCGTGTCAGCTTATCCTACGGAAGCTCGTATTACCCTCCGACTCTTGAGTCTAGCTTTGGCCCCCAGAATCAGAATCAGCTGGCAATCCACTAACCAGATCGAGTCTGAAGATCGACGTCGCGTGTATGAGCGTCATATCCTATTTTTTCGCTGCCGGGTTTCCGAACCTCCTAGCTGACGGTGTACATGACTCGTGATAATATTCTCCTGAGGCTCCCGGTACGAATATCGGGAGTTGGCCGCCGCTAACCCAAGATACGGAGGTTGTACAGTAGTTTAACGCGTGGAGACTCCGCCGGGGTCCCAGAACGGATGGGTGTTGGCGGGTTAGGCTGGCGGCCTCCTGTGGCCTATGCTGGCCCATGCGTCTCGGGGCTCAGCGGAGTGCGTTGCATTTCCCCATCCCCATCCCTATTCCCTTATCGGCGGGCAATTCTCCCTTTTCCTTTATCTTCCACGAGACCCCGGTCCTACAATATATCTGCAGAAGCGCCCGCCAACCAGAAAACTAGTACATATTCGCACCAAGTCCGATGCAGCTGTTCCTGCTATTGCGATGGGGGGGAAGATAGTAGTTGACTAGCCACTCCACGGATAACATGAGAGACCCCGGAAGAATACGTGATCAAATCAGGAAATTGGCTAATTCGTATTTAATGGTTCAGGATCTACCTCGTATCTGTGGATGACGCTGGAATCGGGTCTGACCTAGACGGAAGCATCGCGCAATATTCGCACCGTCGACTCAGAATCTATTTCCAGCAGGCCCCGGTCCACAAGCGACACTCGCGTGAATTAACCGGCCCCAGGAACCACGTTTCCTTCAGGAATTGATGGACCGTGGAGTCTGGATTCATTATTGCAGAATGTCTGAGTGGGCGGGTAGGGGAGAAGCGTTTCTTACGGCTAGCGTTGACATCCTGCGACAGCGCTAACATGCGGGCCATTCCGCTGCCAACGTGCTAGACACTCCTCACCCTCCTGCTGTGCCAATATTGTGCATAGAGGGGGCCTCCTGATACGCTGGGCTGACCAAGGACATGTGTGAAACGATGGTCGGCCTAGCAGATGCCTAGAAAATTAGAGTGTGGCGAGGTATACGGGATGGCGGACATGCCAACCGTCAGACAGACAGCAGATGGGATCCGGGTGGGAGCGCTAAGCCCGTTAATAAGCGGAATGGCAATCAGGGTTGGTGGCCGTGGAATTATGCCTACTGCAAAAAAGGGCGTGTGGCTTTCTGCGGTTACATCCGAATAGTAAAAAATAAGACAAGAAAAGAAAAGAAAAAAAACACTTCCGCTGCAATGTGATGATCAATCCGGACTAGCTGGCGACCATTGCGGTCTCATGTATGGCCAGAGCCTGATTATATTTTATTTATCTTGCCTAACGCGGATGGCTTGGACTTGGGCGATCGCCGCCTGGCGTGGCGTTGCGTTCTGGATTTTCAAACGGGAGATCGAATCCAAGACATTCATCCTATCGAAGGACTATGGAGCCGAGGGGGAGGCACGCGCTCCGTGGTTGGTGGAGCAGCCTCCACGGGCTGAAAAATACCAGGGATGCAGGGCAACTTCAGATTAAGCCATGCAGGCGCCCATACATCCCCCATTCGTCGAGCAATTATCTCAGCAGGAACTAGGGTGTCCTTCGTTAGGTCGGGTGAATCTTATTAAATACACCCCATGCTAATATTACGCAGACTAAGCTACAAGCTACGGTTTCGGGGGGGTTCCGCAGTCTGCAGGCCGAACGGGGGATATTCATTCCCCTCGAGTCGGGTCAGATGTACAAAAAAAAAAGGATCAGAATCCTTCCATTTGCTTCCCGATCGGTCTTTAGGGTAGCTTGAGCGAGCCTTGACTAATCTGGCCTGTTATTTCCCCTCAACAATCGCCCCGGATCCGAGATGGGTAGCCCGGAGGTTGTACTTATCGACGGCGTCCCCTCGGTGCCTTTCCCTCTTCTTTGGTCCTAATATTCATACTACGTTGACACATTTATATCTCATCCACCTTCCTCCCGGACGCGGCTCCTCAATTTCTTTTTATTTCTTCTCTGGGGCTTCCACAAACAATTCAGCTGTCTGTTTTAACTGAGTGTGGCTACCAAGTTATGCCCGCTATGACCATTACGCTGAGTGACCAGA